CGCCCCAAAAGCCGGAGGGGCACGTCCGTGCCGGCGCCCGTCGGTGGGGGGGGGCGGTGTGTGTCTCAGGCCATCCTGCTGCAGAACTCGTCGAAGTCCCTCTCCATGAAGATCTCGCTCTCGATCACATCGTCCTCGGAGGGGAAGTACTGCTGGCTCTCCTCCTGCTGGGGGACGGGGGCCGCCAAGGGCGAAGGGGGGGCGGCCCCCCCGGCCCCCTCCATCAGCGCCCCGCGGGCGTTCTCCAGCACCCCCAAGTAGGAGTCCATGTCCAGCGGGTCCATCTCGCAGCCCGCCCCGCCGCTCTCCTCCGTGCCCACCGAGTCCGAGCGCAGGTGCATCAGCTGGTACTTCTCCCCCATCAGGAACTGGTTGGTGTTGCGGGGAGCCCGCATGCCCGGCGCCCGCCGCCCCAGCAGGTTGACGGGCCGCAGGGAGAGCAGCACCCGCGGGCGGGCGGGCCGGTGGCAGCGGCGGAGGGCCCGGCACTGCTGCTGCTGGTAGTGCTGGTAGTGGCCGTGCGTGCGGCCGCCCAGCAGCCTCCGGGAGAGGCCGGGTTGCCTCCCTCGCCGTCCGGGCGGCCACCGCGACCGGCTGCCGCCCCGCCGGGGTTCGCCGCCCTTCAGCGTCGGGGGGAAGGCGCCCGGCGGCGGCGCCCCTCGGCCGCGGGAGGGCTGCCAGGGCCGGCGCCCGGCTCCGCACGCCCTCAGCTCGGCTCGTCGCAGCATCGCGGCCCCGCCGCTCTCACATGCTCCCCTGCCGCCCGGGAGAGCTGCCGGGACACCCCCGTGGAGCGAAGTCCGCCGCCTCCTGCGCTGGCGCCTTCTCCCTTCCCTTGGGCTGAGCGGCCGGTTCCCGAGAGCCCTGCGGCCTCCCCGGGTGCCTCTACCTTTTCACGATCCGCTCCGTTTTTTTCTTGAGCGGAGCCCCTTTACCGCGCATAGCCTGGCTGAAGGGCTGCGGGCTGGGGGGCAGTTTGACCGGCTCCGAGCCCCTGCCGCCGCTTCGGAGAGATGATCTCGCCTGCCCCCCCCGGCCAGCCGGCCGTTACCGGGCTGTCAGCGCTCTGCCGGGGAGAGGCACGAGCGACGGGAGGGTGCGGGGAAGGCACCGAGCCGCGAGAACAGACACACGACGCCTGCCGCCCCACACCGACTGGCGGCGCGTACCCACACGCCCCCTACTTATATCCCCCGGCGCAGTCCAACTGCCGCCGCGCCGCGGGGGGGGGAAGCACGGCCGCTCCTGAGCAAGCCTGTCCTCGCCAAACCTCGCCCTCCGTGCCTGGTGAGCGCGGCGGCTCTCCGCCACGACGAGCCGCGCCGGGACGCCCGGTCCTGTCTCCCGGGTCCATCCCGGGATCTTTCCCCCCGTCCGGCGCGTTTTGGTTTGGCTCAGGGCTCCGGCAGCGTTATTTTGTTCATCCCCTATTCACGAACACCTTTTGCGCACGGTTCCCCGCGCAAGCGTCCTTGCTCTCTTCTCCGTTGCAGTGGCAGTACGTAAATTGCTTAAGCCGCTTGTGAGGCGCGGAGCGGCGCTTGAGGTGGGCGGGCGTAATGGCAGCGGGGCGAGCCGGTGCCCAGCGGCGTTGCGGGGCTTCTCCCGAGCTCCTGGCGCCGCCGGCAGCAGTCTGTGGCCCGTGACCGGGTGCTGGAAAGCGGCGGTGCTCTGTGCCAGCGCCTTTCCCCCGTAACTCCTGCCTGGGGCCGGCGCCACCCTCGGGGACCCCCCCGGTGATCTTCCCCCTCGTCGCCCACAAAATGGTGCCCGTGCCTGAGGGAGGGGTGTCCGCGCCTTCCCCCCTCAACGCGCGGCCTCCTCTGCCATGGCGGCGAGGAGAGGCCCGGCGGGCCGTCTTAGGCCTCGGGAGCAGGGAAGGGGACACGGCGAGGCCCAGTGCCCGGCCCGCAGAGCCGCCGCCATGGGGGTGGGGAGGCCTGGCCGAGGCCCGGGCGCGGCCTGTACCCGGGGGGGGGAGCCGGGGTGTGAGGGGGCCTGAGGCGGCGATTGTCTAGAGGGGACGGTGAGAAGGAGGGAAGTCCCTTCTTAGGGTTTCTGGGGGTTTGCTTCTTTTCTTTAACCTTTCCGTGCTTTTTAAACAGTAATTTGTGAAAAATTAGAGCAGAGACATCTCATTCTTCTAGTCTGGGGACTGTCCCAGTTATTCATGCTGGGCCTCGATCCCTCCGCTACAAATTTCCCCTAATTTTCAAAGATAAATTTTTTTTTGGCTCTGCGGGTAACTACTGTGCTGCTAAATCTGACAGTGACTTCCATCTTCACCCCTTCTTTATGGTCCATTTGTTTATGAGAAACGAGCTCAGGTTTGTGGCCCAAATGGTTTCAATTAAAGGCCATGCATGAATAAGGACAGTAGGCTTCCACGCAGATAACAGCTTATTACCATTTATTAGTGAAGGGCAAAGAAGTACAAAATATGCTGGGGGGAACAAGGTCAAAATCTGGGTGTGTGGTAACTGCAGAGTCTACTTATCACTAACAAAGTGTCAACATTTGTCTGTATTTGGTTGCTTAAAAGTACATATTTTTAAGCAGTGTTTGTTTTAAATTCCATTCAGAATACAGTATTCCATTTTAAAGTCAACTGGCCTTATCACCTGTATGTTTTACAAACTAAAGTTTAAAATGGAATGAGTTGGCACTGGAGCAAGCGCAATATAAGTTGTCTGAAAAAAAATGCAACCTCTGTAATCTGAAGGAATGTGAAAGCAGGGGAAGGCTGCAGTGCTTTCACGTTTGATAAAGTGTATGTTTATAAAGAAATAGTTCATGAAGCGGTCTGAACCTGTTGGAGATTCTTTTCAAGTAAGCTCTTGGGGAAAAATGTTCAAACTAGATTAAGAGAAGCCACTGTTAAGTTAAAGGCTTCCTGAAAGTAATATCCATCTGCCTGCATAGTGCAGAAAGCTTTCTGGGTATAGAAAAGGTCCATAATGGTAAGATGAGTAAAATCTCTGATTTAGTTATTCTTTTCTGTGTTTTATTCCTCTCTTACCTACTTGTACTCAATGTTGAGTCACACTTACTAGATTTTCTTTTAAAAAAATCCCCCAGACTCTAAATTGTGACAAAACGAAATGCTCAGTGGAAGGAATGCTGCATCAGGTGGTAGAGTCAGAGTCCTCCTCCTTTTAGTTCTGAGGTGTCACAGGCTTTTTTCATAGTTTTGAGATGCATTAGAAAACAATAGGGGTTAAACAGGTTTCTGCCACTTCAGACTTCCCTCCTGGATCCAGAAAATCCTGGATTCACACAGGCAGGAATCTCTGCCTCGTGTCTGTACTGGAGACATTGTCTTGGTGAGAACGTGTGCCTGGTCTCTCCTCTCCTGTTGGTCAGTCCTGCTCCATCTGCCCTCGGTTCACCTCCTCTGTGGTGTTTCCCTGAGTGGGATGCAGATTGAGTTCCCATCCCCCCCCCCTTTTTTTTTTTTTGCTATCCTAGAGTGAATGCAAAATTCTGTGTAGAAAAATAGTCCTGTGCTTCTCTGTGCAGGTGGGAATGGCGTTGGACGTGACCCGCTTTGTGTCTGAAGGTGTCCCTCATTGGTGGACTGAGACACGGCCCCGTACGGACCGGTGAGTTGATCCTGTACCTACTCCTGAAAGCCAGCTCTTATCCATTACCTACATTGGTATATGAGATTTAAAGAGTAATTGAAAATGGTGACATGGAGGGGGTTGGACTGTTCAGAGCGTTGTAGATGTGAACCTGCATTTGGTCAGGGGTTCAGGTGTGCAGATGTGCCATCTGTGGAGAGTGCCCACCTGTCTCCATCACCTCTCTGGTGGGACTCTCTGCCATCTTGCACTGCCAGGAGCCTTTCCACAGCTGTTCCACAGCTCTTCCCAGCGCTTTCTGCTGGTGGAAGGAAATGTTCTGTGATTTCCCAACGCTACGGTATCCAGCAAGAAGGGCCTGGAGAGGAGATGGCTCCAGGGATATGTTACAGCCCCTTCCAGTACTTAAAGGGCTTACAGGAGAGCTGGGGAGGGACTCTTTGTCGGGGAGAGGAGCCATAGGATGAGGGGGAATGGTTTTAAACTGCAAGAGGGAGATTTAGATTAGATATTAGGAAGAAATTCTTTACTGTGAGGGTGGTGAGAGCCTGGCCCAGGTTGCCCAGAGAAGCTGTGGCTGCCCCATCCCTGGAGGGGTTCAAGGCCAGGCTGGATGGGGCTTGGAGCAACCTGGTCTGGTGGGAGGTGTCCCTGCCCATGGCAGGGGGTTGGAACTGGATTGTCTTTAAGGTCCCTTCCAACTCTAACCATCCTATGATTCTGTAATATATTTTTCAAACTTAGGTTTCCCGTGTGGGAACCCATCCAGGGGTTTGCTTTCTCCTCCTTGAGGTGCAGCGCTAGAGGAGGGCCTTTCAGCTCCCTACTGACAGCTTTCAGGGCGGGGCGGCCATGGCGGCGGCCTCCCCCCTCGCCGCCTCCCCGCCCCGAGCCACACGGCGCTGGCCCGGCCTCCCCCGGAGCGGCCCCTGTCCAATGGGAAGCCGCCTTGTTGCACCCTTGAGTATGGCGGGCGCTGAGTGGCCGTCGCCGCCGGCCGCGCCCTCCGGTGCTTCCTGTCATGCTTTCCCGGGCGCGGTTGCATCATTGCGGGACGGGCGGCGCTGAGGTGAGCGGCGGCGGGGCCCGGGCCGGCCCTCGGGGCTACTCCTCACAGTCCCCCCGCGTCCTCCCGCCGGCCGAGGGTGTGGGGGCCGCCCCGGGGGCCTTATTTTGGGGTGTTCGGGGCCGCTTCGTGCGGGCGGCGCCTTTTTGGGGTGTGAGGGAAAACCGGCGGCTCCTAGGCCGGGTGCCGGTCCCGCTGGCCGCTCGTCCCGCTCGGTTCTCCGGTGGTGGCCCTGCTGTCACCGGCCGGAGCTCTGGAGGACCTTAACGGGGAGGCGGCCGGGCTGGCTGCTCCGCTGCTGGATTTTGGCGTTATTAGCGCCTTTTTCAGGCCCCGGAGCTGCCGTGGTCTGTGTCTATAACGTTATCCTTACCTGTAGGGTATTTTACTCCCCTGGGTGCTACACAGATTCTTTGTGTATTTTTTTTTTCCTCTGAAATTTAGTGGCTATTTCAAATAGGTACTTAATAAAGGTTAACCAATTTCCTTATTGCAGAGTTTAATACCCATCAAGGCTTAATTCATTAATTAGTTGAACAAAGAATCTAAGATGCCTTGCCGTGTGTAATATGTCTTAAGCATTCCATGTCAGCATCCTTTTAATATAGGGGAAGTTTTTGAGGAAGGCATGCTTCTGATGAGTGTAGCTGTGATGGATTTGATATTTCTGTCTTCAGCAAATGTTGGCTCCCCCACCTCCCAGGAGCCTTCTGGAAGCTGAAGACAGTGTATTTTTTTTTCAGTTTATTGGTGACACGCTTAGGAAGTGACCGTCAGGTAATAGCAGAATTTAGTTGGCACACAACAGCAACGTTTGCTAACTCAACTGGTGCTGGTTTCCAGTTTTTTTAAATACATAGTTCAGAGTTATCTCAAGATAACTTAGACTTTTGCACAATGACAAACTTTACACTTTTAATCAAGGTAGTATGAAGAAAAATTTGCTTAAGACATCTTAAGGCATAGAGTAAAACTGAGTTCTTGTATAGTATGAATATATTTGTGTCTAATCATAATACTGATTTATGAGTCTGCTCACTGTTTTAGAAATCTTTTAATTGGCTTTTCAGTCTAAAAAGAAACACTCTTTGCTGAGGGACAGGTGGGCTATAGTCTATCTCTTGAGTGATATGTTCAGATGCGTTAATTTTGGTATGCTTTCCCTAACCCATCCTCAGGTGTCAGGTGTGGCTTGAGTAGACTTCGTTTACCTGTTTAGAAATTAGAAGCAGTCATTTCCCAGTTTCCCAGTTTAGTTTTCTCCTCTGCTTGCTTTGTGGCATATTTTTCAGCAACAAAAGTCTGTAGCTCCTGAGTTTCATGACCCATCAAATAGAACAGTGGAATAATCAGGCTGTTATCAGTCTGCTCTAAATAAGGTGTAAACATAAATTTTCTATATTGCCATCAACCCCAAATCTTTTGTGAAGAAAACTGTGGTTTTAATTCTTTCCTGGAGTAATTAGACTTATAACTTGCAGTATTAAGGAGGCTGGCCATGAGGGTGGCAGCTTTATGTCCCTTTGGAGAAGAAAACTCCAGCTCAAATATCTTATTTTTTTTAAAATGAGTTTATTCATGCATTTCCAATTATTTGATGGTTCATGTAAAGTGCTAGTTAAGAGTAGGTGTGCATGATTAGGTTTATTTTTTCTTCCCACCTGTTCTCAAGTCTTTGATTAATGTTGGAGCCTTATTCCCTATGGAAGGCATTAGCACAAGATTTTCAGATGCAACATTTGTTCTTTAGCTTACTTTTCCCATCCGTTCTTCCTTTTACTTTAAACTTAGTGGTTTCCGTATGTTCTAGAAATGCTTTTGATTATCAGATGAACAGTTTAGAATTCTGTTACCCCAGAAGTTGACTTGCCTCAAATCTCAGTACCTAAAAAGGCAGAAATGGGGAGCCTACTTCTGTGTATGTGTAAAAGAGCGCACTGTTTGACTTTGGGGAAAGCAAAGTGGAGGAAGGAGACTCTTGTGTCTCTGGGGGAACCTTGTGCATCAGTGTCATAAAGAATAGTTTGTGGGAGAAGGTGTCTGGAATAAGGATAAAAGACTGATCATAAGCCCCTTGAAGTTAGAAGGCATATTGTGTGCTTTTAGTTGATACTGGTTCTTTATCTTTTCAGTTTCTCAGTCAACAAAATTAGTAGTACCTTGAAATTCACTTTGTGTCAGTCATCTGTGTCTATGTGATGTATGTTAAGTGCAATGAATTCCTTATATGTTGGTTCACTTCATTCATAGTGGCATTTTTATTGAAAAATTAAGTATTGATTATTTAACAAAAGTTCTTAATATTGAAAAAACCAACATTCTGACTTGCTTTTGTAGTTCTAATGCTTGTTTATGTGTTTTTTCTTTTAGATAAGAAGCCCAGCATAAGTTTGAGACTGCTGTAGCACAATCTGCAAAATTTGACACCTTTCCTATTGAATGCTATTATCTTTTAGAAAAAGTGAGTGTACTTTTTCAAAAGTTCCCCAGTGGTGTATTTCTTAAACACTTTTTGTCAGCAGAAAATTAATAGAGAAACAAGAAAACAACCCCCCTTTAAATGTTTACTAATTTGTGTGTAAATTTGGATTGTTGTCCAAAAGTGTTGTTTTGTTAGATGCATTTGTATAGTAATTTCTGTAACATGTTTTCTCTCAGTCTGTGTTCGGAGTAATGAGTTGGTGTACTTTTTCAAAAGTTCCCCAGTGGTGTATTTCTTAAACACTTTTTGTCAGCAGAAAATTAATAGAGAAACAAGAAAACAACCCCCCTTTAAATGTTTACTAATTTGTGTGTAAATTTGGATTGTTGTCCAAAAGTGTTGTTTCGTTAGATGCATTTGTATAATAATTTCTGTAACATGTTTTCACTCAGTCTGTGTTCAGAGTAATGAGTTATCCTTGATTTTTCTTTTCTAATTTAAAATACCTAGGTTGCTTATAGCATTGAACTTTTCTGAACGTCTTGCTGTTGGTATATGTAATTATTGAGATATCTGTCTATGAACTGATTGTGCTTCTCCTGAACACAGAAGCCTTTGCTTTTTTGGTCAGCTGAGGTTGAGCCATAGATAGATTTTTAAATACGGTTTGTCTTTTAAGTCAATCTGTTTAAAATCCTGTTTTGTAACTTGAGAAAACTGACCTGTAGTGACTGTTACATGTTAATTCTCATCAGTAATTTTTTTTTCCTAATTCTGATGTAATAAACTTCTCTCGTAGTATTGATAGGAGTGTGTATGAATCTGTGCCCTGTGGTTACTGGACGCTGGTTTGTGCATACAGTGGTTCAGGTGGTAGAAATGGGCCAAAAGTGATACTGTGATTTATGCGTGGAGTCTGTGATTCCTGAGCAGCTTCCATAGCCCGGTCACAGTTACAGACCAAACCTTAAACCTGTATTTAATTTATTAAATTATAGAGACTTCACAGCTGGGCCAGTTGCCAAAAACCTCTGCAGTTACTGATCTAAGTGAAATGTGCAGATTCTTCGTCCTCTTCTCGAGCCAGCTGGCTTGTAGGAAATAAGCTTTGAGGCTGAATTCTTTTATCGTCTCCATTGTCTCTGGCACTGTGATCTTGTGGCTGTGATCAAATTACTGAGAAATGACATGGCCTAGTTAGTGCTTTGTTGAGTGTTTTGAGATTATGGTGATGAAAATTCATGTACAAGTTGCATGTACTGTAACTTATTGTGCTAAAACTGGTTATTACCTTTTTAAGAATACATCCAGACCATGTCCTTGTGTTTCTTGTCAGCTTGTGATTTGCCTGCCAGCAGCTGCATTCCCTGTGTACCAGGTGGTGGGTTTTTCAATGAATTTCTTGTCTTATTTGATAATTTGGATTTATTAGTGTGGAGAATGACCTGTCATTAATACAAAAAGTGTGAATGGTGGGATTTGTCTGTAAGTTTCATTTTGGTGTATGCATTGAGCTGGCAAGTCCTGTGGTGTTTCATTTAAGTAGATGTTTTGGAACTTTGGTGCTACCAAGCAGCATCTCACCTGTAATTTGAAGTATGGTCTTCGTGTATTTGCATTTGTTGCTGCTTATGGTTGCTGTTTGACAAACCTGAGTAAATCAGAAGACTCAGTCCTTGTGCCATTGCTTGTAATTCTACAATGCTAAGTGAAACCCCAGGCTAAACTGCTGGTGTGAGTGCTAAGGAGCAGCAGCACTGAAGTTAGGGGCAGGAGAGCCTGTTTCTGCTCTTGAGATCATCTGTTACAACCTTTTTTTTTTTTTCTGTTGTGGATCTGCTCTCTTAAATATCAGTATTCCACAGAGCTTCTGCTTAGTCCTTGCTGTAGCATTTTGATGGAATTTGACCCTTTTGCATCTTGTAACAGCTCTGGAACACGAGGCAGCTCTATTGTGTGTTTCTAATCTTCCTATGTTGTGAAGAAAACTTGTACATATTTTTTGCTTGTAGTGATTTTCGTTGACTTACCCAGAATTGAAGAATGGCTTTGGGTTCTGGTGGCCAAAGCACACCAAATAAAAAAAAAGACCTTCAGGAAATGGCCAGCAAGAAGTAGCACCTTGTAATCAAAAAATAATTTGCTCTTTGGCTGCTTTCTGTAGGAGGCAAAAATAAAAGCATAAAGAAAAATGAATCACCGTAGTTGAGTGAATGGAAAATCTTTTTCCTGTTACAAAGCTTGAGTGCTAGTATGTAAAAATTATTAGGCATTTTATAGAATATAGTGCTTGCTTCCATGTCTACACTGAATCAAGCTCTTTGAAAAACTGAGCTGTGGCTTGGTGATATGGATTTGAAAGACAATAAATTGTATTTGTGAAGTCATTTTTTTCTCACTTGTGTTCAATATGCATTTTCTTTTTGCTGCTTGGTTGGTCGTTGCTGGGAAAGAATGGTTCAGCAAGTTCCAGAAAATATAATTTTTCCAAAAGAGGAAGAGAAGATATTGGAGCTTTGGAAAAATCTCAATTGTTTCCGGGAATGCCTAAAGCAGTCAAAGAATAGACCTAGGTAAGAATGTGCTAAAAGCTGTAGCAGCTGTGTGTGACAATGCAAGGCTGGCTTAGCTGTAATTTCTTTTTTTCTTTTTTTTTTGCCTCAGTCCTGTTAACAACAGCTGCTGCCTTTGCAGATAGCAGTCTCAGCTAATGTTGCTGTCATGTCAGTTACCATTTATATTTCAGTTTGTGAAGAATCAACAGTGTACAAACAGTAGTAATAAACCTGTAATTTCCTGCTGGGTGGGTTTATAAAAGAAATCTGCAGGTAGGCAAGGACAGCACTTTCCTCTGCCCGCCAGCTGTGACGCAGCACGCTGGCATTTTCAGTAGTAATCTTGGTTGAACTGGCTTTCGGTTGGAACTGAATGAGTTGAAATATTCCCTTTTCCCACATCCTAGGTAAGAATGTGCTAAAAGCTGTAGCAACTGTGTGTGACAATGTAAGGCTGGCTTAGCTGTAATTTCTTCTTTTTTTCTTATTTCTTTTTTTCTTTTTTTTTTGCCTCAGTCCTGTTAACAACAGCTGTTGCCTTTGCAGATAGCAGTCTCAGCTAATGTTGCTGTCATGTCAGTTACCATTTATATTTCAGTTTGTGAAGAATCAACAGTGTACAAACAGTAGTAATAAACCTGTAATTTCCTGCTGGGTGGGTTTATAAAAGAAATCTGCAGGTAGGCAAGGACAGCACTTTCCTCTGCCCGCCAGCTGTGACGCAGCACGCTGGCATTTTCAGTAGTGATCTTGGTTGAACTGGCTTTCAGTTGGAACTGAATGAGTTGAAATATTCCCTTTTCCCACGTGATACTTGTGCTGGCTGATAATAGAAGAGAAAGAAATTGAAGTTCTAGTAAGACATAAGAAGCATAAGCCTACAGATATCCTGTTTGAAGATTCGATGATTAGTTTTTGATTTAATTAAGAATGTTGTCTTGTGTTATAGGTTTAACTTCTATGATGGGCCTCCGTTTGCTACTGGGCTTCCACACTATGGTCATATTCTTGCAGGAACCATTAAAGACATAGTAACCAGATTTGCTCATCAGAGTGGTTTTCATGTTGACAGAAGATTTGGCTGGGATTGCCATGGCTTACCCGTGGTATGTGTAATAAATCTCCTACAGATATTTCTGTTGGTTCCTGTTCCCTGTGGTGTTACCTGCTTGTCAGTAGTGTTTCTGTTGCTCCTGTGCCTGGCTTTGTTGCTAAAGGAGAAATAGAAGTGTTTTTTCTAGTGTGTTGCTCTGGTTTTTGTGTGTGTGGTTATTTCAGGTGCTTCCTACTGGTCACCTGCCCTTCTCCAGGCACTCTGCTCATTACTATAAACATGTATTTATTCAGTATGTATTTCAGATGTTTTTTTTCTTGTTTCTAGAGAGAGTAAAGAAACAATCACACCAGCATTATCTTTGGAAATATCTCTTTAGCTCAGGTGCAATACTCATGACGTATCAAAAGGATAAAGGAGTCCCTTTAGTCTCATTAGAATGCATTGAACATAAACTATTCAGAGAAATCCTGAAAGCTTGTTTTTTTTTGTCTGGATGTTTTCAATGCTCCCAGGAATATGAGATTGACAAGACGTTGGGCATTAAAGGGCCAGAGGATGTGGCAAAGATGGGCATTGAAGAATACAACAACCAGTGCAGAGGAATTGTGATGAGATACTCAAAGGAATGGGAGGTAAGTAAAGACTCTGTGCGTATTCTGCTGTACGTTTCTAATAGTATGTGTTCTGTCATGTCATGGTTTCCAGTAAGCCTTTATCTTCACCATCAGTTGCCTTTTCTTTTCCTAGGCATTAAAGTCCTAATTCTTTAGATTTTCCTCATGCAGAAGCTATTGTACCTCATCACACTTCTCTGTATGTTCTGTAGTCCTGCTATGTTTCTTTTGATGGAAATAGCAATTTCTCATTTGAATGTCACTTGCCTCTTGTGCTTGGGAGCGTTGTGAAGTTATGGCCAGTATCTGAAGAAACTCCAGCTGCCTTTGTTAGAATAACCGTGGCCTAAATCTGAGTGAGTGGCTGGATGAAAAGCACAGGGGCTGTTTTTTCAAATATATAATCATTCATCTATCCTCTGAAATTTTCTACTTCAACATCATCATCAATGATTCTTTGTTGCTTTTAGAAATTAAAATACCAAGATTCATTCCGGTTCATGGTTTGTTTTCCACAGTTGTTCCTTTTACCTTGCTGTGTTTTCAGCAGCTGTTATTTTTGTGGTGCTAATGAGTCCATGTGCTTCGTATTTTGGATTTTGTTTTGCACATAAACTTGTGCATGTTATGTGTGTATTTCCACACACAGACATGTGTTTCAGATTATTAATGAAAGTAATGAAATTTATTTAAATGCCTTTTTTGTGATTGGCTGGTAATAAAATATTTTGGGACAGTGTTAGGTGGCGAGTTCCCAATATTCCTATTGGAGATAGTGTTTATTTTCTGACTGGAGTGACTGGTAAATGCTTAAACCTTATGGAAAAAATATAAAAGGTTTCTGGGATGTGTAAGATCTCTAAGTGCTGAGACTGAACTTTGTGGATCCTTGTACTAATCAGTCCCAGGCGTTGTATCTTAATAGCGGGCTGTCAGAGTGATGATACATATTTCAGGAGCTCAGGTGTTACGTGAAAATACAGAGGTGGGGGAATGCATTTGCTTTGTTTTCACTAGTTCCACATTCAGTATCGTCTGTGTGTGACAGTGTCAGGACAGGTGTCTCTGGGCTGGGTTATTTGCAGAGCTAAGGGGTTGAATAGCTGTGAAGTTAGCAAGAGAGTCCCACTGGTTCAAGTGGATCTCATAGTTGGCTTGTTACTCATTAGTTTTCATATTCTGTGCCAATGTACGTGACCAGAATCTGTCCTGAGACAGGGACTAACACCTGTCAGTCTTCGTGGCCCTTGGCAGCCCTGTCGTAGCTTTGGGAAGTCAAAAAAGGCAGTTGGCCCTGAAATAGTTTTGATAACTTCTTCTGGTTGATAAGGTCTCCCCTCAGCCTTCTCTTCTCCAGACTAAAGAGTCCCAGCTCTCTCAGTCTCTCCTCATAAGGGAGATGCTCCAATCCTTGAATCATCTTTGTAGCCCTACGCTGGACTCTTTCCAGTAGTTCCCTGTCCCTCTTGAACTGGGGAGCCCAGAACTGGACACAGTACTCCAGTTGTGGCCTCACCAGTGCAGAGTAGAGGGGGAGAATGACTTCCCTTGACCTGCTGGTTACACTCTTCCCTATACAACCCAAGATACCATTGGCCTTCCTGGCCGCAAGAGCACACTGTTTACTCATTGTCATTTTACTGTCCACCAGGACCCCTAGATCTTTCTCTTCAGTAGTTGCCTCTAGCGGGTCCACCCCTAACCTATACTGGTACCTGACATTTTTCTTCCCCAGGTGCAGGACCCTACACTTTTCCCTGTTGAACCTCATGAGGTTCTTCTTTGCCCAGCCCTCCAGCCTGTCCAAGTCTCGCTGGATGGCGATTCCTATTGGAGATAGTGTTTATTTTCTGACTGGAGTGACTGGTAAATGCTTAAACCTTATGGAAAAAATATAAAAGGTTTCTGGGATGTGTAAGATCTCTAAGTGCTGAGACTGAACTTTGTGGATCCTTGTACTAATCAGTCCCAGGCGTTGTATCTTAATAGCGGGCTGTCAGAGTGATGATACATATTTCAGGAGCTCAGGTGTTACGTGAAAATACAGAGGTGGGGGAATGCATTTGCTTTGTTTTCACTAGTTCCACATTCAGTATCGTCTGTGTGTGACAGTGTCAGGACAGGTGTCTCTGGGCTGGGTTATTTGCAGAGCTAAGGGGTTGAATAGCTGTGAAGTTAGCAAGAGAGTCCCACTGGTTCAAGTGGATCTCATAGTTGGCTTGTTACTCATTAGTTTTCATATTCTGTGCCAATGTACGTGACCAGAATCTGTCCTGAGACAGGGACTAACACCTGTCAGTCTTCGTGGCCCTTGGCAGCCCTGTCGTAGCTTTGGGAAGTCAAAAAAGGCAGTTGGCCCTGAAATAGTTTTGATAACTTCTTCTGGCGTATCAGTTTCTTTCAGCATTTCTTTGTCTTCGAATTACATCATCTTTTCATAGAACTGAAAGCTGATAGACTACATGTTCTGGGTTTTGACTGTCTCTGTAATGATCAGTTTTAAAAATAGAAACAAGACCACTGTAATCAAAAGCAATTTTCAGGCATTTGAACCTTGACTGAACCTTGAGTGATCCACCATTTCTACTTGGTGAATGATCCAAATGATCCAGCATTTCTGTTCAGTAGTGTTGAACGTGTTTCCCTGTTGTGTGACCTTGGTTCTAGGCAATTAGGTTCACATTTTCATTCTTTGCTTGTTTTTGTCTGTTTGAATAGACTGTTTTGAACTATTGTCAGGCTAAAATATTTCATGGATGTATTTCATTTATACGGGACAAACACTGCACTTAAAAATCAAACTGTTTTACAGAATAAATATTGTAAATGTATCGTGATATTTAATGTTAAGATCTCTTTCAATCTGTGTATTTGTTTCTCAACAGTTCAGTGTTACCAGATTAGGACGCTGGATTGATTTTGAAAATGACTATAAAACTCTTTATCCCGAATTCATGGAGTCTGTGTGGTAAGTTAACATATACATTGCATATATGCATTAGGCATTGAAGAAGACTTCAATTATTATAAACATATATTGGTCCATACATCACTAGAACTGTTTTGAAATATGCCAAATTCAGATAAACAATGGGCAAGGTAATGAAGATGATGTGAAATCTCTTAATGTCGAAGTGAAGGAATTAAATCACCTACTTTTTTCTTCTTTGGGATAGTAGGGCTTTTCAAAATAAGGTACTGCAGTACTGCTTTTATGGAGTCCTGAAATCTTGCTGCTCCATATCAACTTAAATGCAATTCTGCAGACCTTCTACTGTGTTCCTCACTTGGTTTAGGAGATTTCATTATATCTCTGCATTCTTGATGTTCTTCACACTGTCAACTGCAAATGGGCAACCTACTCAAACTCTGTTTAGCTCTAAATCTCTTCTTCAAGCCTGAACTTAGAGGCTGGGAAACTGCTGTTACCTTTTTCTTGGCAGCATAGTTTGACAACTGTCTTGGACTCCTAGTGCAGAGCTAAGTAAAGTTCGGGTATTTTGGCAATGTATTCAGGGCGACTGTTGGAATACCAAAAGACAAGGCAACCTTATATGTTAAGGATAATCAAATTGACCTAACACAGTGGAGAAAGGGCAACGTAGAGTCCTTCAGGTGATAGAATTACAAGGTGAGTTGCAGAGAGGTTTAGCAGGGTATGTGCTGACAAAAAGTCCTTGAAAAGCAAATTATACGCGTATTAAAGTGTTACTGATGATCTTTAAATTAGTTTCACTAATAATCTTTAATTGTATAGTTATGATGAAGGATTGATAGAACTCCTAGATGTCTCTGAAGCCGTTGTAGAGGGCTGAAGTGCCAGTGAGTTTTCAATGAACATTGATGAGGTGGTGGGAAGGGAGCAGATGTTCAGCAAACTTAGCTGAAGAAGCCCTGCATAGTGATAAAGCTAAGACTGACAAGAAACCTTCCTTTTATAAGTTATAAAAATCCTTGGTAGCATCTCAAATCCTGTTTAACTATCATCTTCCAAGAACCATTAAAAAAATAAGCTGGACTTGAACTAGCTGCAGGATCTTTCTCAACAGCCCAAGCCTTTCTGTGGGTTGTTTTCTGTTTGCTTTTTTTTCTTTTTTCCTACCTTTGAAAGAATATTTCTAGCCTTTCACCCAGCCTACAGAGGTTACCTCCTCTGATGCTTGCTTTGGGTATGGGCTCTAAAATATAAACTTTGGTTCTGAAATCCCTCTGTTATGAGACTTCAGGAGGTATGTAGGCAGACAGCCTCTTAGTTTTGTACTTTTTTTGCTTCCTGATGCTGTTAATTTTCAATGTAATCGTATAATGAAATACATTTTTAAAAGTCTGTTTTAAAAAACTGGGTTTTCTGGAAGAAGACTTTTAAGTCTTGGAGGGACATGTTGCAATGCCACTGCCAGCTTGCCCTCACAGTAGAACAGGAGGTGGAACCACCAGTGTTTGTATGGAGTGGATGGAGGAGGGGAATGGAAAAGGAATGCGGGATGCCTCTTTCAAGGCTAAGGGAGATAATGCTTAAAGGGAGCACTAACTGTAGCTACAGTAGTGCTTTTGACAGGATAATGTACAATTTTGTAAAAAAATCAGATTGTTACCTAGGCAATCATCAAACTGAAAATCTGTGTTACTGGAATTACATTTTATGTCCATTTAGAGTGTTCATTTGAACGGTAGATTTTAGTGTGCTTCTCTTACAGTTTATTTGATTTCTTAATGTGAGTTCCTTTTTAAACAATAATAAAAAAAAAGTTCTAAAACTTTAGTGTCCAACTAAGTAGGAAAGAGAAACTGCAGATTAATTTCTGCATTGGCTGTTACCTGTTGATCGTATTGTCTTGCCCAGTGTTTCTCTCTCTTTTTTTTTTTTTTTTTTGTTTTGTTTTGGTTTTTTCTGCCTGTGGGAGTAGAACACTGCTCTTAGGCCCAGGACAAAAAAACATTGATAATAAAGATAGTGAGCATGGCAACCATAGACTTTGTAGTAAGGGTTTTGTTTTCAGTCTTTTAATCAACTAAACCTATCTGTTTAGGCTATTGGTTTTTTGGGGGGTCTCTAGCTTTTTCTGAGGCTTGTTGTTCTGAAGTGGTCTCAGCTGGAATTTCTAGCTTTCTTTGAAATGTGATGTTTTCATCCATGGTGTTTATGTTGAGTTCAGTGAGCTAACATAATACTTGTGATAAATGTTGTTTCCAGTGGTGGCTGATTTTTATCCAAATTATTTAGACTTGAAATAGCTCAGGGCTCAGACACCAAATATGTCTTTTGTTAATATTATCTTGTTTTGCAGAGACACTGTACAAGCTCAGGATGCGAGAGAGCATTTATTTCATATTTTATAATGGGTTTGCTGGAAATGGCCACTTTGTAAGCATTTTGGTGCTGTGCTGTGTGGTTGCTGAGAGCGTAGAATGAATTTTCAGCCTGCTAAATTTTTACTTAAGCCAGAACTTCATGAAGTGATAAAATTGTGGCATCCTGGCAGAATTTTTCAGGGGAACATTGAATGTTGGTGTCATTAAGCGGTGCAATGTACTGCGTTGGTTTCTTGTGTGAGGATGTAGTCAACTCTTCGTGTCTTAAATAACTACAATAGAACTTTAAAATTCTAATTCTGTAGATCTTGTAAGTCCCTCCTGCAGCCAGCTTGAATCTCAATGGAAAAGTGTCCTTCACTGTAAACAGTACAATGCAAATGATGATTTTGAGCTAGCATGGGATAAATGTGCATTATATTCTTGCTTTTTCTGTACAGCTCATGAGCTGGATACAGTGAAATTGAGAGCAGTTTGATGTGATCTTAAACTTTTTACCGATTTACAGTTGGTCTGAAAGAAGTATGTGATCTTTGGGAAAATATCAACGAGTAAATTATTGTCTCCACTATGGGCTTATTACATAGTTCCTGGGCTGGCAGTGAGTGAAGTGCTGAGGAGAGGAGGGGAATAGCTCTGTGGTCAGAGCTGTGGCATGCTTCTGGGTCTGATGACTAGAGGTTTTAATTTCAACATCATCAGGGTTAGTGAAGCAGCTTTCTATCACCACCACGTGGCTAAATTTAACAATTGCAGTCTCAGCATAATTCAGTTTTAAAAACAGTTAAAAGCTTCGTGTATGTCTGGTGTGAAACCACAGGCGGCAAAAACACTTCTGAGGTACTTCTGTACCCTGAGAAGATACTCTTGAGTCCATTTTTGATAACACTAGGCAGTGGCTGAGGGGAGAAGGAAAAGCATTTCTAGTTACAGTAGAAAATTGGTACTCTACATGTGTGAGATCATGGATGGACACTGAAAACTCAGCTCTGTTCACTGTGAAAAAGCAGAGTGGAGCTCCCTTCGGTGATGGGACACTTTGTCCGTTTCTGCCTTCTCTCCACTGAACCCATCTCAGCTTCAGTTCTCCTTTTAGGGTTGTTATTAAGAGGAGATCTCTCTGTCTTTCCTTAAGAAGTGTGGCCTTTGGCCTCGCAGCCCTGTCCTTTGATGTTCCGTAGCAGCATCAGCCTTGGGGTGCTACCACACTGCTTCTGAGCTGCAGCTGAAGAGATTCTGAGTAGCTCCTGAAACTGGAACATTTGCCTTGGGCTGCCTGAGTGCCTATGTGTAGCTTTGCTTTCATTTTGGCATGAATTTTTTTTCATATAGTTTCAACATGAGCTCTGTCACTGATGTCAGTGTCCGGCTGCCTTACCCCTCCTCAGTGAGAAGGTGAATGTCTCCCCATTGAGAGGAGGACTGGTTTCTTCTAAAGATCAAAGCAACTGGATTGTTGGGTTTTTTCTTTTCTGTGTAAGCAGTAAAAGTTGTTTTCTGACTTAATTTTTTTTTTTTTTTTGTGCTTGTGGAGTTTATCTATCACTAAACCAGAATGATTTCAGAACAACCTACCTCAGGGTCCTAATAGGAATCACTATTACATTTTGGTTATTCCATGACTCTTTAATGGAGTCGTCTTTAACGATTCTCTAGAGAGATAGTGTTCATGAGAAATCTGTTTTGTCCATTTTCTTATTAGCTATCTGAATATTCTTGTATATGCATTTCTTTTGTGCATTTAGTGCTCTAGTTCCCATGTTGCCATCTTCTTACCATCCCAGTTCTCCTTGTTTTATCTCTTTACCTGTATTTTGAAGATGGAATACACTGAACCCCTGCTTAGTTGGATGATCTTTGGGATAAGTCTAGTGTCAGTTTTAAATATTTATATTTTCTCCTGAAGAGGTATTTTGCACTTCTGGCTTGATCCAGAATCATTCAAGATGCTGATGCAAAGATTACAGCTTGGAGGGTACACCCGGAGGAGAATGATCTCTATATGCTGGGATTTTAAAGCTTTCACTGATAGTTGAACATAAGACTTGACAACTTTTGTACTTAGTATTCTTACGCCCCAGAACAAATGCTTTTTGTATTTTTCAAAGATGCTTTTCTAAAGACAGGCTATCTGTGTTTGGTTTTGGACTTAATGTTCCTCTTAGATTTATTCTTTTTTGACTCATGTCCAGTGTTGTTTGAGTACTTTTTTCTGTTTTTTATCTCCATGCATCTGTTTTTGATCATTGCTTTCTTTTGATTTCATCTTCTCTTTCAAGTGTTGCTCATGAGTCACAGGAGAACCTTTTCCTCAGAATCTCAGCTGCTTCTGGTGCTGTTTGGTTGCAGGCTGCTTGCTGAACTCTGTAGATGACAGGACTTCTTACACAGTGGGGTGTTTGGGATTTATTTTTTTTTTCTCCTAAATCTACAGAGGCTGTTAAATTGTCACTTTATCTTGACAGGAACTGATGCTAGGTAATACAGCAATAATTTTGTTCATTTATCTGTACTGCCATGGGTATGTTGAAATCATACATTTCTAGATCCTGCTGTCATAATTTTTTGTCCACCTTACTTTTGGTGTTTGTTGGTAACTGAGTTTACATTGCCTGGCTCTTTTTTCTTTAAAAAGAATAAAAGGGGGAAAAGCAC